AGCTGAGCATCTGTACAACTGGAACTGCTCAGCAGTAGGACATGGCACACTCAGTGTATTAGATCTCGAGTCCGTAAACATCACAATATTTGAAACAGAAAACCCTCAAGTTACTTAAAAGTGTCTTCCAAACTGTATCACCATCTGTGGGAAGAAGTCAATATTTGAGACTAGTTCAATTCCTACACTTTAAACAGCACAGGGTAAAAGCCTGACAGAGATAAGCTCGTGTTTTGCTGCATCACACCCAACAGATCAGTCTTACAAAAATGTTTCTGTGGTAACATGACACTGAAAGCTTTGGGTAAATTCATCCATGTCAACAAATGTAAAGAAATGCATGCAGAGACTGGAGAAAATTTAACTGGAAATACAATAGCAGCTGAATTTCCCCCTGGCTCTCACCATTAGATCTTTCTACACTTGTCAGCTTTTACTCGCAGCATCCTGGAAGAGCACTTGGTGTTCAATGCAAACTGTCACCTCACAATACACCCATTTTCTAGATCATTTTGAACCTACTGAACAGGAGGCACTTGTTGACCTACACTTTTCTTCACTGTGAGGAAAGATTTATCCTCTCAAGCACTTAAACCATGACAAGACCTTCACTTCTATCTTTGGCACAAAAACACTTAAAACTTTTTGAGAGAAACACAGTGTCACCTGAATTTAACCCATTGACACAATTTTCATGTCCTTCACAGAGCTGATTTGTGAGCAGGATTTTCCCTCTGAAGAAGCCAGAATGACGATGAGTCAATGCAGTGTATTTACAAATAAGCACCACAGAAGGTACCAGCTGATACAGTGACACTGTTTGAAGGGAGATTCCCCATCTCAGGATTTCTCCAGGAAATCCTAAAACAAGGTACAAGAATGGCAGTGCCTTTGCTTGACAAGCATGTCAACATCATATTTGTTTTAGTCTCATTTATCCTATCTTCAGAGGCATCAACATCCCTCAGCATTTTGATCCTGTTTCAAAATCCACATGACTATCAATTTACACCAAAGGAAGTTTTTCCTACACTTAAAACTCTCCTCCTGTGCTGAATTTCACTAACTTACCCTTCAAAAGAGAAAGTTGCTGCTTGGAAACCAGAAATATTAACTTCAAAACACGCACATTAAGTTTCTCTATTAACTGACACTGGCCTAGAATCAAAATGCCCAAGGAATGACAAGGTTTGTTTTTTTAAAAACTATTTATTCCCTAGTCCTGAAAAGATCTGCTGATATACAACCTCTAATAAACCTCAGAGAACACAGCATGTGTCACAACATTCCCCCTGGTTCAGGGTAAAAACCTTATAGAGACTCAAACTAAACATGTTTTAGTTGTGGTTTGTGTCAACTGATTCAGAACTGCCACAGATCCCATAGAGGAGACAGAAGTTGAGAGGCCCTGAGATGCTCCATGGAGCACAAGTCTGATGAGGAGTGGCTGAGGGAGCTGGGGGGCTCAGCCTGGAGAAAAGGAGGCTCAGGGGGGACCTTCCTGCTCTCTGCAACTCCCTGACAGGAGCAGGGAGGCAGGTGGAGGTCGGGATCTGCTCCCAGGGAACAAGGGACAGGACAAGAGCAAACAGCCTCAAGTTGTGCCAGAAGAGGTTTAGATTGGATGTAAGGGAACAATTCTTTAGTGAAAGGCTTGTCAAGCACTGGCACAGCTGCCCAGGGCAGGGGTGGAGTCTCCATTCCTGAAGGGATTTAAAAGTCACGTGGATGTGGCACTTGGGGACATGGGTTAGTGGTGGCCTTGGCAGTTGGAGATGATGGCATTAGAAGGCTTTTCCAACCTAAAACTATTCAATGATTCTGTGAAAAAGAGCTATGGAAAATTTGCTTTGACCGTCTAACTGTTAGAAAAGGCAAATGCAACATCAGGTGACAGAGACCTCACTGGTAGATTTGAAAAAGAGCAGCAAAAGAGTTTACTGAAGTCATACAACCTTTTCACAATGCATTGCAACAGAAGCCTTTTTATCCCAAAAGCATTACTGTGCATTATCCCCACAATAACACTGGATAAGATGCAATTTTTACCATATTCTGTTCCTGTCCAAGCTTAATTATTGAATGCCTAATTTAACCACTGTCACTGATTAATTAGAACAACAGAGCCAGAAGCAGAACCAGCACAATACCACAAAACAGCAATATTAAGCTCTACTGGAATCTACTCTGAATATTTTTTAAAATTCCATGTCAACAGACATTTCCTTTTTGCAAATTGTTTGTGAACAGTTGATGTCCCTATTAGAGAAACATCTGGAGGTTTTGTTTTTGAATTTTCTTCTCAACATTTGAGATTGACCTTTTCATTTCTAAATCAGGTTTTATCCAGATCTTTTTGGAAAAAAAAAAGAAAAAAAACCCAAACAAACAACAAGCAAAACCAAAAAAACAACAATGCAACCCACTGCTGGCTTCCAAGGACAGCAGCACTGTATCTCAGTAAGTCACCAAACCCCTGGACTGTGGCCCAGCAGTTCTCCTTCTGAACAACATGCAGATCCTATCACAGAATCATGGAATGGTTTGGGTTGGAAGGGACCTTACAGGTCATCTAAGTTGCAAGCCCCTGCCATGGGCAGGGACACCTTCCACTAGACCAGGTGGCTCCAAGCCCTGTCCAACTTGGTCTTGAACACTTCCATGGATGGGGCAGCCACAGCTTCTCTGGGAAACCTGTGCTACTCTCTTTCAGTTTAAAGCCATGCCCCCTTGTCCTGTCCCTGTGTTCCCCTGTCCCCAGTCCCTCCCCAGCTCTCTTGGAGCCCTTCAGGCTCTGGAAGGCGCTCTAAGGTCTCCCTAGAACCTTCTCTTCTCCAGATAACACCCCCAGCTCTCTCAGCCTGACTCCAGAGCAGAGGGGCCTTCGGAGCATCTCTGTGACCTCCTCTGGACTCCACTCCAGCACCTCCACATCCTCCTGCTGTTGGTCCCCCAGAGCTGGAGGCAGCTCTGCAGGTGGGGTCTCACCAGGGCAGAGCAGAGGGGCAGAATCTCCTCCCTTGATGCAGCCCAAGATGTGATTGAGCTTTCTGGGCTGTGAGTGCACACGGCTGAGACATGTTGAGCTTCTCCTCCATCAACACCTCCCCCTCCAAGTCCTTCTTCTCAGGGTTGCTCTTGACCCCTTCTCTGCTCAGCCTCTGTTTGTTGCTGGGATTGCCCCAATCCACGTGCAGGACCTTGCACTTGGCCCTGTTGAACTCCACGGGCCCACCTCTCAAGCTCATCACAAAGAGTCCTTACAGGATTCCCTTTCTAAAGCCACCCACATTTCTTCACACTTTTAAGTGCATCCTGAATACATTCAACTATCCTCCACTCTTTAAAAATCACTCTGTCTTCCTTCCTCTCACTCCTAGACCCTTCCCATTTCCAGCTGAATTTCCTGATCTTCCATTACACCCTGTAACTCTTTTCCCCTCCAAAATCCCTTTAAAGCCTCTTCATTGTATCAGCTCACATCTCTTCCACTGTGTCTCCTCCACAACCCTCCTTCTGTGTATCCCTCCTTCCTCCCAACCCAGTGTTAGCCCTGCTAGAGCCAGGCATGAGGAACCTGAGGTGAAACCATCCCAGCCAGGCCTTCTAAGCTTTACACAAACTCAACTCGATGCAGCAGGATCCCAGCAGGAAAGGAAATGACTCCCTTAAACACCAGACTGACCCACACTGGTTTGTGCAGGAAGAAAAATACAGTAAAACCCCTTTTCAGGAAGGTCCTATTTCAGTGCATCCTGAGCACAACAAATATATGCACTAAACAGCATGTAAATATAACAATTTTACCTTTAAACATCTCTGTTATGATAGAAACCAGAGTACCATGTTCAGTTTTGTTATTGCCCATTTTGTAAAGGATGTTACAAAACAGAGATTTGAAGGCAACAGGAAGTGCCTTACTGTGAGATTTTTTTTTTTTTTCCAGCACAGGCTCTTTGTCCTACTTGACTGCAACCTCTAAAAACCTTTGCTGGGGAAAAAACGACAATATTAAAGAGTTGTTTAATCTCGTACGGAAGTTCACAAAATTAGCCATGACAAGAAACTGGGAAACCACAAATGAGAAATGAGACATTTTTATACTTTTTTTCACAAATAGCTGAAGAAATTAACTCATGAATTTGTCAAAAACTGGTGGAATCTCCAACTTTTCCCACCTTCATGAAGAGGCTGCAAGAATTTCCCGAAGTTATGCTCAGACAAAACAAGTTAACAGACTCAAAACACAACAACCACACAAAACTTGGACATTTCACAGTGCACAGTGAAATGAATTGTAGAAGCCAAAGCTCTTGAACTTTTTTTTTTGTTGCCTCCTATAACCCAAGCTACATTCATTTCAGTTTTCCTACGTCAAACGCTGAGCAAGACAGGCCAAAGAAAATGGCCCAAATGAATTCCACGAAAGCTCTTGGGGTTGTGTAGCCTTTGGCAGTTACCCCTGTTCTCTAGAATTCCATCTGTCAGTTGTCCCTTTCTACTCCTTTTTGACAGAAGCTAAAAAAAAATAAACAATTTGTTTCTGAAGCTCAACACCAGCCTTGGGTCTGGGAGGTTTGTTACCAAGTTCTTCTTGGAATCCCTCTAGTGGGGGGTGTCCCTGCCCATGGCAGGAGAGTTGGAACTGGCTGATCTTTAAGGTCCTTTCCAACCCAAACCATTCTGTGATTCTGTGATAAGTCTGGTTGTTCAGCCATAGAAAATTACTCAACTTGTGGTTCCACTTGCTGAGCTGATTTTTGGCCGATCGTTCTGCTTTTGAGAAACAAACCTTTCCCCTCCAGGAATCTTAACACTTCAAAGCCACAGCCAGCTCACATTTTTTCCCCACGTAAGCATTTCAAAAGTCTTCAGAACTTGAAGGTCTGAACTCTGTGGCTCTCACTGCAGCTGCACTTCAACACAAGCACTTCAGAAGGGGCACTTTCCTGGGCAACGATTCATGTATTTTTAAGAATATGGATGTTTGCAGAACTTACCTCTTTCTCGGTATCCCTGGATATGCAGGTCCACTGGTTTTCCTTCACACTGTATGCCCAGAAGTCAGCCAGATCCTGAGTTCCATCCCAGCCACCAAACAAATAAACAGTTTCTGTTTAAAAAGGGAAGAACATGTTAATTTTATTTGAAGAAGGCATCTTTAAACAGGCCAATACCTACAAAACACCTGTGACAAACAGGTGAACTATCAGAAGAGTAACTTGAACCAATTTTTACTTAAAACACTGCTCCTATTTGAACAGAACCAGTCACCAAGACAAAGAAATGTGGTTTGGTTTAGTAATGGAAGTTTTTAAGATTGATAGTCAGCCAGTTCTCGGAGTCATTTTCTATTTCTACATTTACATAAGAGGCAATCAAACCCACAGCCTTCTGATTAAAATTCCAGACAGACAAATGAACAATATTTAACATTTTGGATCCTGTGCACTCAGTCTATCAATGACATCTCAGTTTGTACCCTGTCTGGTGCAAGATTTATACATCAGCAAGACTTGTGAGGCAGGAGCAGCAAAGTTTTTCTGTTTAGTCTCTCCCTGAGAAAGAAAATTTACTTCAGTTATGAAATCCTCTCTAAGGGAAAAGCCTTGCATAAAGGAACTTACCTGATGGCACAAAAAAAGTAGGTAGAATAGAGTTAAAAGATTTAAGTCAGTGTTTCAGGTCTGTCACCTCAAACCCACCACTGCTCCATGCACAGCAAGTCCAAAGGATTCTCAGACTCACTGATAAAACCAGATGAAGCCTCTGAACAGGGGAAGCTTTCAAGAAAAGTCTCTGTTCTGCCATGGAGAGATAACTAAACTGCTCCCATTATAGAAACACCACTATCTAGTCTCAAGTGCTAAAAATACTTCATCTTTAGACTGTATTAAAACACAACACAAAGCCAAGTTCAAGAAGAACAAGCCTCTCAAGACCTGTAGAGCTTTGAAAAAGTCCTTTAAAACCCACAAACCAGTCCTATTATGGAGGTAATGGCCAATTTTTAATCCAACACCAATTAAACAGCAGAGTTAGAAGCAGGATTACAAAATGGAACCAGTCCCTGACCCTTACCTACCATCAGGATAGTGGTCATCACCATGGAAAGGTTACCCTGGTTCATTAACTTTAATTACCCTTCCTCCTGGACTCAGGGCCCCCAGTGTTCCCTGCAAAGAGCAGGTCCCTTTGTGCACACAAATTCTCACAGCTCACAAAACCCACATCACCACAACAGCTTCATTGATAGCCGAGAAAAATAAAAGATTTGGCACCGGCTAAATATCCTCCTGGGGCCTTGCCAAAACGTCAGGCCTGCCTGGAAAGGCTTTGTTGGCTCACATGAAATTTAATAGCAAACCTGAATGAATCTGATGAAAACTCAGCTTCTGAGAGTTACCTACACCAAGCTGACAGAGTGAAATGGCCTGTGAGCACTGAGGGAGGAGCACAACCACCCAGCTGGTGCCACTGAGAGCATCCCCAGAGTGGCACTGTGGGGGCACCAAAACTATGCCAGGCTCCCATTTCCGTAGTGATGGAAAACTGTAGCTCACACCAGAGAAAGGTTCCATCACTATCTAGACCCAATGACTACCATTTTTTGGTTTTATGCCTTATTGCAGAACTATATACATATTTTATAAGAAGTTTCCGTACTGAAAAGGAGTATTTTTTAATGCATAAATGGAACTGTTGCTGATTATGTCAAGAAAGTAATTTTTCATAGTTCTCCTAAGTTTTGCAATGGTTCTTCCACAGTATAAGGAAAAAAATAGTTATTTGGTGTTATTTGGAGATTGGGTTTAGTTGGTTGGTTTTGAAATTTTTTTGGGATTTTAGATTTTTTTTAAAAGTCAAACTTCAGCATGTTCTCCAACCAGAATCACCCTTCTGTTCTACCTGTTAGCTCAGATTTTATGGGAGGGTTATTTTTCCACCTTGTATACAGAGATCCGACCAGGACAGATCCAGGATGCATTCCCAGCACTCCAGGCATTGCCACCTCACCAACATAGCAGCAAATACTCAAGAGAAGAGGGCAGAGACCACAAACTCCAGGCACAGGAGTGGGGCAGCCGAGCAATCTCACACCAGTGTAACTATTCCTACTCTGGCAGCACTGGGGAACTCAGGGAGGAAAGGATTTCTCCCTCTGTATCCAAGCAATGTGTAGCACAGCAATATTGATGCTGCTTTATTAAAGCAACTCTTTACTCTGCTTCAGGGACACAGGAATTTTCAAACCTACCTGCAAGGCAACAAGAAAAAAACATGAAAGCAATTATATTTACCCAAAGCTTTCACCAGCTATGTTTAGGAAGTCAAATTTCTCCTCCAGCATTTTCACCTTATTTCCTCTACATTTATTTCTGAATACAAATTGAACACTTTGAATTAAATATGCTCTGTGGGTATTTCTAAACTGCTTGCTCAGACAAAAATGTTTCTGTAATATCTGAATTTTTCTCCTCCCTTACTGTCTGGATGACTAAAGGGTGCCAGAGCACTCCTCAAATTAAGAGGACACACGTTCCCAAAATTCAACATATTTCTTGTCGACCTCTCATTAATTTCTATTTTTCAGACAAGTATGTAAAGCATCCTTCTCCAACCCCTGTGAAATACCAAATATCCCAGGGCAGTTTAAGTCCAGGTTAACTCGTGTTCTCCAAGAGTTTTCCAACTCCTGTTAACTCCACCTTCTCCATGCGGTGAAATCCTGGGTGGAATTTTGGTACAGGGGGTCTTCCTCATCTGACCAGGGTGTTACACAGCCAATTGCTCTGGTCAGGCTGACAAAAAGCTGCTTGGTGTGCCTGAGCCTCCCTGTTTTACCTTCTAATACACAAGCTCAAAGAATACATTCCAATCCTGGTGACATATTTAACTACGTGCTTCAGTCAAATGGTATCTCCATGTCCCTGCTAGAACAGCTCTCCATGAAATATGAAAGAATTATGGACCTACAACACCTCTGCAAGTCATCTGATCCATCAGTCACCTCCCAAACCTCTCACAGCAGGACCAGGCTGCACAGGGAATTACACAGTTACACTCTGACTATCTCCAAGGGTGGATATTTCAGTCTCAGATCTGCTGCAATGACTGATTATCTTCATTACATTTTTTTTTTATTCCTAATATCTGGAATATGGAGTTTCCCATCCTGCCCTTCATCCTATCCCTCTGTTCCCCCCAAAATGAGTGTAGCCACCTCCATGCTCCCACCAGTTACGTGAAGACAGCTCTGAGATCCTCCCATGAACCTTTTTCCTACCAGCTGCACAAAAGCAGCTCCCAAAGCATCTCCCCACACATCACAGGCTCCAGCCCTGACCACCTCGGTGGCTCTTCAGTGACTCTCAGTTTGACACAATCTTTACTGTCCCAGAGAGCCCCAACTGGGCACAGCCACACTCCAGATGTGGCCTGGAGTAGTAAAGAGAGCAACATCCCCCTCCTTAACCTGCTGGCCACGCTCCTGCTGACACAGCCCAGCAGGACATTGGTCTTCATCACCACAAGGACACAGCACTGGTATCTCAAAAGCCTTCTATGAAAAGACATCAATTCCCTCAGTAGAACCACAGATTTAGTCATGTGCCACTGGCATTGTCCACTCTGTGAGGGGCACTTGGAGCACAAATATAAAACCAGACCCAAATTTCTGGGCAGTTTCACACCCCTTGGTTTCTGAGCCACAATTCAATGTAGATGTTGGTTGGATCCAAGTTTTTTTTTCAGGCTAGGCACAGAGTCTTCCTCTCAAATGTGAAAGCGCCATGAAGTTGAGTAACCTCCAGGATTCAGCAGCTGTTTGTGTTTGAGAGCTTCGAAGCCATCTGTGTTTTGTTTCAGAGATCCCTTCATCTTGTACACAAGTCCTGTCTTTAAATATCTTATGGATAACAGTGTTTTCCTCAGGCAAAACAGCATCCTTCACGTCTGCTGCTCTCTCTTCATCTTTTTCATCTTTCCACGCTGCTTTTGAACCAGCCTTGTCGTTTCCACTGTGCTGCCCACACGTACCACGGCCACGCTGGGCCCAGGGCTCTGGATCTCCCTGTGTTCCCAACCTACGGCTTTGTTCTCACTTATCCAATCAAAGGAGGAAAACACAGTTCCTCCCAGCAAAAGGAAAAGCAAGATAATGTACAAACAAAATTAGAGCAGTCGCACTCCAGTGAGGGAACAGAGGTACCACACTGATAAACACCATTCCACTAATATTTTCCCTCAAAAAACGGTTCCACTTGCCAAAAAGAAGAGAAACGGAGACCCAAGAAAATTATCCTGGTTGCTTTGCTATTGTTTCTACAACAGGCTCATTGGAAAACTTCAGTAGTCTTTAGCCTAATGAACTAAAAGCTGAAAATTAAAAAGAGCAGGATGTAAAACAAGTTTTTTTTTAACAGGATTATTTCTATATAGTCTATAATTCTGTTACCAAAATAAAATTGTGTGGCTTTATGGACTGCATTGCAATTCACATAAAACTGTGCCTGTCCTATGAGGGCAGAGGAGATCAATTCCACCTTACCTATGGAATTACAACCCTAATCTCCAAAACACAGCACATGTATTGCTCTAAAATACTGATGTTATTCCCTAAAGCTTGAATTTGGGAATTCACTTACTCGTTCCCACTATCTTCCAGACTAAGCACTGTAATTTTGAAATGTGTGCCATATCTGAACTATAAGCAGTTTTGGGGTTGTTTGGGGGATGCTTTTAATTTATGTACCTGGGTTCTGAGTACCCAATTACCTCCCCTCCCTTGTATAAAAGCACAAGGAACTCTCCAGTTTCCCAAATGGAGAACTCCATGAGATATGCACCTTGCAGGGAAAAGCAGGAATAACATAAGCCTTCTGTTTTCATTCAGATTCTAAAGCTTTCAAGTCCCTAACAGTGGTTCCAGCTCTAACTGTGAATGCCTCTTGGTTTATGTTTCTGCACGTGCATACCAAACTCAAACTCCTAATTCTGCCTCCCAGAGTCATTCCAGTCTGAGTGTTAACATGATTAAAAGCATGGAGGGCATTGTTACAATAACTCCTCATTTCTAATTTACTTTATTTAAGAAGACAAAACATGTTGAAGGGCAGCTTAGACCAAGTTGAACTATGTTCTACCTGAAACTTTATAAACAGAGTCTCAGTGACTCAGTGCACCACCAGGAACTTAAGATCCAGCTCATCTGCTTCCCAATCCATATGCTCTATCCTAACACCAACACGTGCATCCAGCAGGTTCACTGCTTTTAAAAAAACTAAACCTATTTTTGTAGTCAGCAATAACTGGTTTAATATTTCCTTGAGGTTAATCAAAACACAGAACCATTTGTAGCTCGATTATAGCTACAGCAGGTCTGGCCATCAGAGATGGAAATTTGCTTCCAACACATATTCTATGTGATATGAAGCTTCAGAATCTCCTTACAGGTAAGATTTTGGTGTTTCACTTCATTTCCAAAAGATTAAAGTTGAAGAAAACACTTGTTTTTGAGAAGGACCTCACCTCTCTTACAAGGAGTGCAAAGTGAGATGACTTTTCAGTTGTCAAAGAGAAAAAAACAACTCAGCAAGTGTGTGGGTAAGGCAGGGAGGATGTCTTTGAAGGGAAGAGTACACCACTGCTCCTTTTTCCATTAACACTGGATTTGCTCAAGGTTAGCCAGGAAGCTTTACAGCTCCAGTCTGTAAAACACATCCTGACATAACTGGCCCAATTCCCACCAGCTCATTGAACACCACCTGTATTCAGAAGGAAAACTCCAGCAATCACCAATGGCTGGTTTTAAGGGTAACAGCCCCAAGAACTTCCCCTGGCCTGCCATGACCCAAATTAAATGACAAAACTGATAATCTCAAAAACATTTTGGCTTGTAAAAGCCTCAGTGGACCTGGATGCAAAACTAAGAGCAGCTTCCCAAACAGCCCAGAAAGAAACTTTGGGAAGGTATCCCACCACCACTGGACAGAGTTGCAGGAAGAAAGGGCCAGCATGAGAGGGGAAGATCCAGCTCTCCCACCCTGAGACTCCACCCCTGTGGGTGCTCTCCAGCCACTTCTGTGCAATTAAAAAAAAATATATATATGTATATAGACAGATGGTTTTCATTGCCTTATTAAAGCAGAGTGAAAGGTGAAGTCCAAGGCAGAGCTCACAAGGACTTAAGAAAACCAAGAGCAACGGAAAGGAAGGCTCACACTACCAGGGATATATTATTTTCACAAGGTCTAATGGACTATCATTTCCAAGTTGACAAGGATCATGTTACTTCCAGGCTCTAGTGAAACACTCACTCTCTACTTATTCCCAAGGCCACTAGGGAGCGTTCCCAGCCTCTTTGTAGGGAAACACCAGCAATCCTCTGGCAGCGTTTTGTTCTAATCAATCTCAAACCTCTTCCACCAAAAGGAAAAAAAAAAAAAGTTTGCTTTCATACACAAAATAACTCGAGTGCTTCCTCCAGAGCTGTAACTACACTCTGAGCACAAGCCAGAGACTGCAGCTACATTTCTGCTTGTTCACTATGACTTAGCAAATTACTCCTGAAGGTGCTGCCCTGTCACATGCTCCGCTCCCGTCCGTGTGACCACAACAGATACGGCCACGGGCATTTTTCTGCCAGCTCCCTCCACGCCACCCTGTATTCCTCTCCATTAATCACACACTGATCTTGTTTCTCCTTTCCCCAGAACAATCCTTTTGCTCACACAGCAAAGACTCAGGCAGATGCTTTCCTTATTTTAGCGAGGGCTGACGTGCCACGGCAATCTGATTAAATTAAAGCAAGACAAAGATACATAAAGTTACGGAGAACAGCTATCACTGGAACTGTTACTGATACACAGCCCCCTTTCTTTTCTCTGCAGGTTCCCTGAAGCAGAGGCTGAACCATTCTTTAAACTGCTACAGGAAGCATTTTTGTAAAGAAAGTCTAACAAATTACATTTAACAGGAGTTTCTTGCACACTGTGGAAATCAGAAGCCACTCCAACCAAAACACAAAGAATGTTTCAACACATCAGATCTATTGCTTGAGCTCTATTCCAAAGAGCACAGCCTGCAGCAGATAAGGGAAATTATTATCCCTAATTTCTCTTTTCTTGTTTGAGCTCCTGCTCCAAGAGGGTAGGAGGGACAAAAAAATTAAAGCCAATTGTTCTTGGTTTCTTAGTTAAGACAAGACAATGGCTAAGGCGTAACAGAGAATTAATAGGGAGGAAGGGGTGGGAAAGGCAGTTGGAATATAGTTCCAGAGGGAAAGCAGAGTATTAAATCCAACTATTAGAAAGTGCAATTTTTTTGCCTCAAAACCTGAAGGTCTCTGAAAAAAAAAACACTTGCGCATTAATCTGGAAAACAGCTGATTAAATAATTAAGTTAATTAAGAAATGTAAGAACTACTCACCTGTCTGCACATCTATAACCATCTGATGGCCACCTCTCATCCCTGGTCGACTGTCTTCCCCATCACCTTCAAAAAAGAGGGAGGAAAGGGTTTTCCATTGTAAAATTTTTAAACCAAGGAAAAGTACAACCTCAGTACAGAAGCAGAGCAACTTAATAACTCACCCTTCTTTAAGTATTACTTTAAAGTTTTTAGTAGCTTAACACTTTTCCCAGGTAATATTCTAATACTGTACTAAGATTTATACTGAATTATCTGGTGACTGACAGTACAGACAGCAAAAGTTTATACCCTACTGCAACTCTGAGTGCCTTGGAAAGGAACTCCAGAGGTCCTGGAGCACACAGGTGCTCACAAAAGAGCTCTGAGACGTCCCTTCAGCCCTCCAGCAGTGAGGACACAGCCAGCCTTTGTCCCCTCTTCCCTCTCTTCCCCACCTGAGAGATGCCTGAAGGCTGAGCTGTGAGAACAGACACTCAACCGACAGGGCAATGCACCCCTGGGATGGGAGCAGGGAGGGGCTGGAGAGACACAGCACAGCTGCCTCTGCACCAGTTATCCTCACACATAAGGGAATCCCAACTGTCCCATTAAAGCAGCTTTCCAACCTCTTTAGACATCTTAAGCTTTCAGGACAAGAGTCATCCACGGGAAGCAACATGAGCACGATAACCCGTGTTCTGCTGGAAGTGAAACCTGCTTGTATTCCTGATAACCCTTCCCAAGGGGGTTGGGGACACTGCTCCACATTTGGCAATTGTCACCTTGGATCCCACATTTCCTGTGTGACAGGGAGTTTTGTACTCTGTAGTCAAGGATGCTGCTGCAAGTCTGTTCTCAAGGCAGAAACCAACAGAGAAAGATTTACCACATAACACGTAAAGACTTCAAAAGATCTCTTTTAAAACACGCCCTGTTCAGACAATGTATTTATTTGTCACTCTTGGCTTTGAGTTTGAGTCAATTCCCTTCATTAAATCCAGTAACACAGCTAACTGTTCTCATGTTTAACCTGTATCCTGAGATTTGGTACTGAACTGATGATCAATCCTTGACTTTACTGCAAGCATTCCTGCAGTTTTCCTTACTCAACCAGAGACCAGGCTGCATTTCACTGACTCTGCAGACAAATGCAACTTTTTCATAGAAGAAACCATTCCCCAGAAAAACTGTCCTAGAGGAGCCTTTCTTGCATCAGCATCATTTTCTTGCTCAATATTCTCAAAGGAACACGACAGAACTCATGTACTGCCAGTTCTATCTTAAGAAATGTTCTTACCTTTGGTGCTTTTGGGGATAATCTGCCCCCAGCGAGGTTTGTACTCTTGCTGACTGATATACTGATTGAATAAGCCATCTGCAAAACAAAAATGTTGCTGGATAAAGCATTTATACTTCCATTATAGCAAAATCACTTTTCATGTGGGTAACTTCAGCCTCACTCAAGCCAGTTTGCCACTCCAAAGCCTTCGTGTTCAGTGAATGCGCCATTATATGTCAGTTAGTTTGTTAAACTTTTGTTAGTTTGTTAAACTTTTGTTAGTTTGTTAATGAAGTAAATGTGAAAGCACTAAAATAAAAAGAATACTTGCTACTAGATCAATCAGGAATTATCCAGTTTGCCTGCCAGGTCATGCCAAGTGTCTATAAATCTCCAGTGTGGTGTATTTAATTAAGAATAGAATCCCTACCCATTATTTAAGCAAAAAGGAAAGTTGCCAGTGCATATAAAATTCAACCATTTTAGTCCATGTGAAGTTAAAACTAGGTCAGACAGCATCTCTGGAGCTTCATCTGAGAAGAAAAGGGAAGCAGAGCAGATTGTTTAAATGCTCTGATATGGGACAACCAGGCACTGGATGAAAAACAAAATAATAGTTTACATTTTCTTGAGGGAGTTAAGCAAGAAGAGAAACAGAAGACGTGTCAGGTCACGGGGCAGATATGCCAACTGCAGCATTCTGGTGAGAAACACCAACTCCAGCCCTTTATCCACACTCCCCTTGTGCTTTCCTCTCCCCTGGTACACCTTCCACACGCCATCTCTTCAGCATCCAGAGGCCAGCTCCTAATTCTGGTTCTAGGCTATCAGTCTATCACATAAGCATTCCTCTTTTGCAAAAGAGATTCAAGACACCCACACTCTCCAGGACTGCTCTTCAATCTGGGAAGGGCTTGGCAAACCTTTGGGGAACTTGGTGCTGCTGATCTTCGAATGTCTCCTCTAACAAGCCCACCTCACCTTCTGCAGGCACAACAAACCATCAGACCTCGTGAGCACTGCTCTCCTGGCTGCATCCCACCCACCACCTCAACACACAAGCCCTTCCTGACAAGTGTTTGTGCTGCATTTATGCATTCCCTGAAAAAAAGAATGAGAGTTCAGACACCTAACATCAAATAGTTTTTAGTTCCTTTGGTCACAGTAATTTCGGCTTTGAGGTAAGAGTTTAACAGATGATGGATGCCTCTGTTTATTTATAGAATGATCCTTACTGAACACATCCCTATTTATTTACAAAAAGGTAAAAATCTTTGCTAAGCATGACACAAGGTTCAGAGAATATTTTAAAGTGTTTCCTGGCATCCTGTAGTTTGTCGTGACTGAAATCCAGGTTTTAATTAAAACTCAAGCCAGCAAGTATTTCCTGGGAGAAGATGAATGCTCTATTTAGAGACCATCTAATAGGAAAACAAGGGCACTCAAGAGCTTCTGAAAGGTGCTGAGTTTGGTCTGAAAACACAAAACTTCCATAAACTCAGCTGTGCAAGTTTTTCCAAATAAATACTCTGAAAACAGGGCAGGTTTTACTTTCACCTCAGAGCCAAAACCATCAGCTCTCTCCCCGCATTAGGTAATCGAGGAAAGCCAGAAGTTTGCTCAATGTATGTAGAAAGTGGTTTATTTTGGGTTTAATAGCAGGGTTCTTAACTCCCACTTCTTCAGCATTTATGAAGTTGGGACAACACACGAGAGGCTTGAAGCTCGAGATCTCATAAATTCTGATTCAGAAAAGCCAACCCTCATAGAACGAATGCATGTGCTGTAAGAAATCCCACGGTGACTCAGCCGCAAACCCAGACAGAAACGCAGCCTTTTGGTTACTGTTACAGCCCCGGGTCTGCACGACAGAAACCAAAACCGTATTTATCCCGATGGCAGCCAATAGATAATTGGACACAAATAGCTCCAAAAGATGAATTACACCACATAGGATCTGAAAGGGTGATTTAACCTCTCTCCCATGCTCAACACCCACAGGCTGCACTTGTCAAGATACGACACTTCTCCCCTACTGTGCCTTCAGCCTCTTTTAATAATGCTTCTTGTCTTCCATGGGACACTGGTTTGGAAACACTCCAGCTTGCTTCCCAGAAATGTTTCTTTCTGCTGGGAGCAGTTCCACATTCATTCTACTTGTATTGCAAACCAGCAGCAGCTTGTTTTGGAAGCTGAATCACCACCTGTCTGACACCACCAGGGACAAGGAAAAAAAAAAAGAAAAGAAAAAGGAGGATTTCTAGGTGGATTCTGCACCCGATGCCAGACCTACGCCAGCGCACTCCTTCTGTTCCTTGTCAGGATGGCTCTGCTGACCAAAAGGTCTCCAAAGCTTCTTCTCCAAGGATCAGATCTAGGCCTGCTCAGCTTTGTCAGCTGTTCCCAATGAATCAGGAGTTTAAAATAAATTTCAAGACTCCCCCAAAAAAAACAAACAAACAAAAAAAAGTAAATAAGTGTCAAGTGGAAGTTTTTCAAGGAAGTTTTCCTTCACTTCAGTGTCCATGTTTACTAAAATTACAGACAAAACCTTGCTCTGTACTATTTTTCAAGCCCTTCTCAGCAAGTCATGACGCATTTGGGATGTAACAACACGAAGTTCACGGTGGTTAAAGCTCAGTAAATTCTGCCACCCTGATAACCCAAGCCTTCGTTTTGCCAACTGCAGGTTACCCAGAAAGGATCAGGACAAACACCATGGACAAAAATATTTAACTTGCTGAAGCCAATCAGGAACAAGTTGTATTAAGTCTGAGGTTTTTTTTTTTTTTTTAGACAACACACATCTGCAGGTAGGATTACTAAAATCCATTCACTTCACTGCTGATGGCTGAAAAAAACTTCAGAGTGACCCATAATTTCTAGGAGTTGGGGTTTGGATTTTTAAAGACTTATGATTTTTGTCAAACCAAAGAGAAATATCCAGAACACATAAACAGATGGAGGTGTTTTTTTGTCACAAAAATCCTTCTAAAAAAAAAAAAAGTTGAAGGAGAAAACAAAGGTGCTACCAGATAAAAATCCAGCCATTACTTGACAATTTCTTGGGAGAAACAAGGAAAAATACATTTCTTTTCCTCCAGCCTCAGAGTTGTAATATTTTCTTGCACTTTGTTCTTTGCAAAAATGAAACAAGGTTTGCTCTCAAGTCCCTATAAGTTATCCCTCTTCCACAGAAACCCCACCATTTACTCAGGACATGCTTTGTATCCCTAGCTAGCATCTCCCCTCCGTATATCCCAGCATACAGAGCAGCATCCACACTTTCTCAGAACCAAATCCAAACAATACTGGATGGTAAAATTAAGGTATACGAGTCTGCCTAGAGCTCCCAGGGCAATACAAGTGTTCCTGTGCGTCCTGTCCCTGCGCATCCCGAGTTTTGGGAGACACTGGAGCCTGCAGGCTGTGCATCACAACTTACTGTTTGCCGTGCAGGGCTCACCTGTCACCAGATAAACACATGTCACACCCTGACACGAGCAGTGCCACAAGGAACACCTCAGTCCCTGGAATACTAATACAAACTGAGCAGATCTTCCATCCATTCCAGGCAGCTTTCCATGTCTACAGGAGCTGCAGGCAGCTCAACTAAGTAATTTGCACTCCACATACTCTCTTGGAGGAATATTAAGCAGATTTTTTTTTTTGCCTTCAATAACATAAGCCCGAGAGCTATAGGAACGGATCCAAATGAGAAACATTTGAACCGAGTCTGTGAACCAGCTGAGATTTAAGGGACCCTTTTCTTTCTGAGAGGAAGTCAGGCAGCTGCCAGAGTTTCCATTTGCCCGTTTTCGAAGTGTAACGCATGAGTCAAAAGAATCTGCGGGCGAAGTGTGGCTGCCTGCCACCGAGCTCTCAAAAGAAATCATCTGGTGATGTGAGGTGGAAGACAGCGCTCGTCATTAGCAATGCAAAAGAACAAGAGTTAGCTCTGCCAGCGCTAATTCTTGACCACCTACTCTTTTTCTACATGACTAAGCCTATGGAAATCGCCCGGCGAGAGATGCAGCGCGTCGCGCTTTTTCAATACCCACCACTGCAAAGATCGGCCTCTCCAGGAGACATTTTAGGCTGAGCCGAGCGTGCAGTATCTCTGTCAACCTCGCTGCACTTCTGTTTGTGCCTTCAAGGCAATGAACTCCCCGATCAGCGAGCGGTCAGGAGTTCACATATTCATGCCCGGCCTGCAGCAGAACAGGCCGCTCTTTGAACGATTTCAGGGATAATTTAAGGATCTGTATGTCTCAATTAAGTCTACACTTCAGCTACGCTACACAGACACGGGACCAAAGTTAATCCGCTTTTGTTTGGAAAAGCGACACATCGGAGAGAGGAGCTCAGTGGTAAGAACACCCACACCTTAGAGACTAAGCAGCAGCTACGGAGACTTCACAACAGAGCTGCTGAGAAAGCAAAATGGTAAAAAAATCATTGCAGAATGGCCTGGGTTGGAAGGGACCTTAAAGATCATCCGGTTCCAAATCTTATGGAAGGGTGAGGTCCTTATGGACAGGGACACCTTTTACCAGACCAGGTTGCTCAGAAGTTGCTGAGGAGCTTGAGACATGCAGAGCAGACTAAGGACAGTGGAGGACCACAAGGAGCAGGAGGTAGGAATACTGTAGGAGGACGTGCTAAAGGCTGAAGACATCTATCCCCATCCTACCAGCAGCAGTGAAGTACCAGTGATACTCAACACTTTGACTGCCACCTTGCACAACTCCAGACAAACTATTCTGGCTGCAGTTTTGTGGTTCTCAGAAGAGGTCTGTCCCATCCACTGTCCCACCACAGCCTGAACAGCTCCATGCCCAGGTTTGCCATGTGGCAGCAAGAACACCAGTGCCAGGGGACACAGTGTCCTGAGTGAGGGCAGGATTGACCCAGTTAGTAAAAACCTGCAGTCGTGTCAGCTTAAAGCAAATATGGGCTGCAGCCTCCGTGTCTCGGGATAGATGGCACTTCCCTCCGGAAGGTGCTGGGAGGCGACAGAGCTCAAGAGCTGAAGGCAGCATAAAGAATGGCAGGAGGATGGGGAAGGAAGGTTAATGTATTCCAAGACAAGCAAAATCATTAAGGATGACCAACAGAGCAACGGGAGATGCGCACGCTGACATTTAATTTCAGCCGGCCAGGTGCCGGATTAAAGCGCAGCAAAATAAACATCCTCACGTGTATTTTTCTGTCCCTCAGTAGCAGTGACAAAACAATGATGCTCTTGAAGACTCTCCTACTAAATTACCCACCGTCTGTTGTGAGTAAGACATGCTTCTTGCATTTATCAAGACTGATAAAACAAGCTACAGCATATTCCTCCAGTTTGCTTAAGGGATGCCGAGTTCCTCAGCTCTCCTAGAGGGAATGATCTCAAAAACCAGGGAAGCAGGATTGTCCACATCAAATCTGACATGGAACAAGAGTCTGTTTGTCAGACAGAAGACTGCAGCTCTTTTTTTGAACTACCAGGAGAGTCCTTTGCCAGTACTTTCACCCCTGGAAAAGCTGAGCACTGTGGACAGCAACCCCACTCTCAACATACACCACCCCAGCTCAAGTTCTAGGGGAAAACTGCTGGATGAAATAAATGTTAAATACTAGGTAGAAAAGAAATAAAGACATAACAAATTAAAAAAAAAAAAGTTACAAATATTTGCTTCATTAGTGCCCAAGAAAAAAAGTCCATTTTTGAGGGAACCTCTTCAGCACATTCTAGATTTTGAGTGAAATTCTATTCAAGAAAGAGTTCCAACTCCAGCCTGCAATGAAGTGGAAAGAGGAGGGCCTCCAGGCACCGAGATTAAGTCACAGCCAAGGCTGTGCAATGATAAAATCATCACCATCAGCACAGAGCACTCCTCTGGCTGCTGCAGCATCCTGGTGGGCTCATCAGCTCCCCCAGGCACTCGTGTCTTTGAGACACAGACAGTAACAGCCAGCCACAGCTCCCTGCTGCTTCTCCAGCCTGCAATCCTCCCGTGCCCTTAAGATTCAGGAGGAAGCTGCCAGTTGCACAACGTCCCTGCATTGCAGGAAGCTGTTCACGCTCCCATCCCAGCCAGCAACACTCCATGGGCTCAGGAGGGCAGGATGAATACTGTTCTCAAGTCTCAACACTTGTAGCTGCTCCTGGAGCTCAGCACAGGGCAGGGCTCAGCTGCTCTGCCTAAGAAACCTTGAGCCAAACACACAGAAAACCACTCACCGCAGTTTTGGAGGACCTGTTACAATAAGCTCCCTAAAACTGCGCTCAGTTGAACAGCTTAGTCACAAGAAGACGGTGGATTTTCATGGAAGACAGTTCTTGATTTTAAAGCTTTCATTTCTATCCAGTTCTGAGAACCACTTCCAACTGCAGTGGTACAAACCCCACTGCTGGAGTCAAGCAGGTACACCGGCATCTATCCAAAGGTATTACAAAATGACTGATTAGCTCAGAATCAAGACAAAAACATCTCTGGTGCCAGATATCCATGAAATTGGTTCACTAAGTCCCTAACTCTACTGGCATCAGACACACAGTTCTCCTCTCACGCCACCACAAGTGTCCCATGAGGAATGACTGCACACATTCAAACAGCACTACACCCACAGCCAGGAGCACCTCTCTTTTATCAGACTGCAATCCAAAACCGCTGCACAGGTCTTGAGAGACACTTCAGTGCAATAGTCCAACTCTTTCTGTATCCCATTTTATCAACAGAAAGTACATCTCCCTCATTTTAGGAGCTGAGAGCTGTTTATGCACTGTGTTTTTAAGTAGAAAGCTTCCAAGTAAAAAGTTAATAGTAGTTCCAGTGAAACCAACAAGGTCCTGCTCTGCAAGTGAAAACAGGCTTTGCTTCTAGTCACTGACTTCCACACCATTCTCCAGGGATTATTTTCCCCATAAGCCAAAACAGCACTCTCATCCAGATACAGATGAAAACCTCTGCCTGAACACCAACTTGGTAGCAAGTTCCAACCAGAAACCATGATCCAGATCACCACTGAGAACTCCAGCTTTCAGCTTCCCTGCTCACCACTCCAGTGACTTTCCTGATAAGTCAAGCCCACCCTCAGCTTGCCAACACTTACATGAAGAACTTATCTTTACCCACTCAAGTGCACCTCGCTGTCATCTCTGGGGGAAGGAGACTCCAAAAGCAGCAGTGACAAGACATTTCATGACTGAATTTTTAGCCTTCATCACACAACACACAAGTCCAAAAGCTGACAAGCACACCACAACAGACGTCAAACAGCACGTGGACCAGCCAGTTCTACTACAATGCACGTTAACATTTAAAAAAAGGTAATATTTCAATGGGGTGTTTTTTATAGTTAATATATCAGACTCCTCCAAGTCTCTTACCATTCACAGCTTTTTCTATCAGTTCTTCACAGGCATCGAAGTCTCCCTTCAACACCAGCTTGTCGTGGAGGTCTGTCAGCATGGGGTGCTCCAGAGCAATCTTGGTTTTCTTCTGCAGCGACTCGAAAGCCTCGGTGTAGTTGTGCTGCCGAAAATGCTTTAGGCAAAGGCGAATGGCTTCCTGTTCACGGTACTACTGGAACACAAGAAAACCTATGAGACATGGAGATTTTTCCTTCCACCAGCACTGCTGGGAGCTTGCCTGTGAACCTGGAGCAGGATCTCTTGTCCACGCTGCACAAATTGCTCGCCAGCTCACAGAGGAACGCTGTGTGGACGACATTACAAGCTGTGCAGGCGTTTACTTTCCAACAGTATAGAAGTTATACAGCTTGGTATCATCCAATTTAATGAGCATACAAGAAGAGAGTGCACAGTGTCCCAGATCTCTGGAGTGACCATTAGTTTTCCCCCCCCATCTGCTTGGCCCTGCTGTTCGAGGCCTACACGAAGTGCAGAGCAGGAAAAAGCCTTCGCTATCAGCGTTACATAATTTGATTGTATGACTCTTACATAACAAAATAATTTAGAAGAGTAAGTAGGTCACAGCTTTTCTAGGAGCAGAAGGAAAAAAAAAAAAGCCACAAGAATAGGAATACTTGCAGTGACCACCACTCCTGAGATAGAAAGGCTGAAGACTGACCCCAAATCCTGCGGGTTCGTGAGGGTTTTTATCAAAGGCAATGAGGATTTATGTGCACAGCAAAGTTTTAACTTCTAAATATCCCCTTGCACCTTCAAGCAGAACCTCTGCTTTCACCCCACAGAGGAGCCACAGCTGCCCATATCCCACCTGACTGTGGGAAGGGGTGAGAAAGGTGAGAGAAACCCACACTGGGTCCAACATCCCTACACAGACACGTGAGGGAATAGTAAACTGTGAGTAAGAGCTACAGCTTGTGCTGTTAACCTAGCAAATCATCCACTGTGTTTTCAAAGCTGCTAACAATATGCATAGGAAACACAGATTTTTAAGGTGATAAGTAGCAGAACCACTTATTTTAAATAGACTGTTCAAACCTAAATTCTAAGGCATTAAAGGAAAAAAAAAATCTCAATTTCCATCTTTAACACACAACTACTGTGGTAAAAAGCAATTGTAACTTTAAGCAGCTATAAGACTGATTAAATTATAGACATGAGACTTTAATCCTAAGTGGACACTACTGCTAAAAGTGAAGTTTATGGTATTTAGATGAATAGAAATCTTTCTGAAAACCTGAAACTAACACTGACTCTCAACAAAAATTAGTGCTCCTGGAATAATGGCTCGATAGCAAGAATCTCACAAACTGAAGCGGCTAAAGAGAAACACGGCCATGTGATATATTTTTAGTTCTTAATCCATCAGTATTTCACAGCTGCAAATAGCCAGAACCATGCATTTTTAGAAAACCAGCTCCCAGCCCACATGAAAAAGGCCAAGGACATGTACTACATGATAAGAATGCAAGGCTGCAGCAAAGGAGTATTGAAGTTAAAACAGTTTTACAGCACAACTGGCAAAAAACAATTGTTTTTTTGTCTTTCCAACAGATACCTAAGACACTGTCTTTAAGAAATTTTCACTTACATCAAAGCCAAAACCAAATTAGATTCCCTGTTGTTCAAAGGGATGGCAAGCAAAAGGAGAGCTGCACACCAGTAACAACCAGTTTCTGCTTTTTCGGATCCTCCAGTTCAGAAATTAGGCAAAAGTCAGACTTGCTGTATTTCCACTGAGCCCCTCATGGCTTGGTTTATAAAATATGGAATGATTGTTGGATGCAGGTTGGCCACTCAATGCCACAGAAAAGTTTCTATTCAAGTGACACCATAGTACTACTTCAGAAGTTAAATATGAAAACCTCTTTTTTATGCAAAAAGGTGTATAAAAAGTATGTAAAAGGCTCCTTTATAAATGCTGTCATACAGGTTTAAAGAGATGACAACCCAAATAATAGTTCTGATCTGAAGCTGTAAATAATTCCTATGGTTAAAAATGTAACAGGAGCATGAGACCAAGACATTAACACTGTCAAACACACTCGTAGAATTAAAAATAAATTCATGTGCTCCTCATCAAAAGCGATAGGCAGCAATAAACTGCCTCTTCTTAGGGGCTGATGTTTGCCCACTCTTCAGGAAGAAGGGGTAAGGACTTTTGTGAGGCAGCAGGTTGAGCTGGACAGCAAGGAGAAAGCAGTAGGGGGTACTGAGTAGTGTGCTTGCTGCTCTCAGTGCTTATCCCTTATCCCCAGCTCCACTCCCTGCAAGAAAAGGGAGGTTTTGTTGGCACAGAACAAAAAGGACAAGCAACTTCAAGTAGAACCTTCCTCTCATCTGATGTCACAGGCAGTAAAGAAATATTAGATTTCAAAGCCTCTGACATTGCCAAAGACACGCATGAAAATATTCACACCACCTCAAAGAACTCAAAGAAACAGGTCCTGCCTTTCCCAAAACATGGGTCAACACATCCTCCTACATGGATCCAGCAGCAGTGGCCTCTCAGGGTTGGGAGGGAAGAGAACATCAGTGGCATATGCACTCATCACCAAAAACTTGGCAGTTGACCCTAGCAGAGCCCAGACCATCATGACTAAGTCTCTGCCTTGCTGCTTTGGGGCTCTCAAGCTTTAGGAGAACAATGCTGGCACCCCCTGAAGAAGCTGTCACTGCACACACGCTGACCATGAAAAGTGCCGATTCCATGGGATAAGATGGAAGGAGACAGATGCAGACATCGTCATCATCAAATGGTTCCCAATCAAAAAAAAACCACAAATCAGAGCTTTTGTTTGCAGCAACTGGTCCAAACTGCCAGACACAGCACCACGTGCAGAGGCAGCAGAAGGCAGCACGGAAAACCATCAGCAGCTCCTGTCAAGTGGACTTTTCAGAAGAGGACATCGATCATCAGCTGACTAATGACCACACCACCACTTGGATCATAAAGCAGCCACAGACAACTTGTCCTGTGCTCGTTAGGGCTGCATTTAAATCCTCCCTGAAGAAGCTCGTGATGTCGATCTAAGTGGGTATGAGCCAGACACCACAGTCACACATTTTCCTCACCACACTGGCAGCACCTTGAACTGGTGGGGGAGTCTCAGTGCTGATCACACACAGTCTCTATCCCCTCCTAAGCTTTTCCTTCTGGAAGCAGAGACACACTGCTCCCCTATTCAGTCTTACTCAGCTTGGAAGGATGTCTCCTCTGCAACACAATATGAATCTCATTAATTGTTCCAGAAGATCCAGCGCATAACATGCCGCAACAAAATGAATTCTGGTTGTCAGTGTGCACTTCCCTCCCACAGGAAAGGCGTCTCTTGTACTCAATTAAACAATGTTTATACAAATAATGTTGGGAACCTTTTGAACTTTCTGTCTATCAAAGTGACAAATGGCATAAATCATCTCATCTCACAGTCCAGTGGCATCGTCCCACTCTGTTCCAGAGTATTCAGCAAAAAGACAGTAAGAGGGAAATATCAAAAGTGCAAGGAGCTGCAACAGGAAAGACACCAGCATAGATTCTCTTTAAATCAAGCTCATTTTATACCCTGTAACAAAAGCTGCACCTCTAACCCAAAAGCCTCTGGACTCACGTAGCTCTATGGACTGGCACCTTAAAAGAATGACTAATCAAAAGGCAAGAAGAGGGGAAAAAATGGAATCTGGTTTTGTTAAGATTCATTTCCCTTCCAATACTAATACTATTTTCCTAATATTGTCCCCTTTGACTAAGTGTTTCTTTGGTTTATGTTCTTCTTATGATGTGTACGTGGCAGGTTTCCGTGGTGGTTTTGGGGTTTCTTGAGAGTGTTTTGTTGGTTCCTCAAAGAGAACACGCAGATACAATTCAAAAAGATTCCCTTCGAGTCAAAGTCAGCCATGTGGTCTGAGTTTTTGCTGGTTTAGAAGCTGATATTCAAGGAGTGAAAAGGTCACATCAATTCCAGTAAGAGAAGTTTCACAACATTCTGAGACTGGGAACCTCCAAACAAAAAAGGCATCTAAAATGCAGGCCTACCTTGCTGTACCAGTTGAGGCACGGCTGGACCACATCTGGATCATCAATGCCATTAAGTTCAACATACCAGATACTAAAATTGAAGCTAGGCCCCCAGGACAAGAGTGGAACTGGAGAAAAAAGGAAGAGGAGAGAAAGGCTGCATAAACATCAAACAAAGACTGTACTACACAGTACTATTGCAACAGAATGCTTTTAAAGGTTACACAAAATTCACTCTTTCGGATTTGACTTAAGTTCTAGTTTGCTTAACTAAGCTTATGAAAATTACCAAATACATCATGCTCAACTTGTCATTTAAAGCAACCTGTGCTGAGCAACATTAACACAGCAGATCATTACAAAGCAGAAGCTTGCTTTAAGCAAAAGAGCAAAAATACTATCATTTAAAACAGCTCCAAGAGGCAACAAGCTTTGACAAGGCTGGGAATCACGAGCACACCAGCGACAGTATTTGCTCCTCACAGTACATTTATTTCCCCATTTGTCAGCAACAATTATTTTCCCTAATGGTGAAGACAAGAAGCTTGGGTATTTTAAATTTTACAAAATTAGTAACATCTGCAAGTTGTGGAGGAGGAAGGGAGGGATAACTGTCAGTTTCCAATTTAAAGACTCTAATTTTTTTTTTTTAAGGTTTAATCTGTGCAGTTTTTTGCTGATACTATTTTATCTGAGCATCGGAACAAATGTACTTAAAATACTAAAGGACCCATGAAAGACATTGCAGCCTCTCACCTACAGCTCCTCTACCACTCTGGGTTAATATCTGAGGCCTAGCACTGATCTCAGGATTAATCTGCAGGTTAAGACTTGGTTCTGCTTTTTGAAGCTGCTCCAACTCCCCGAAAACTTGTGTGTGAACTCTGACTCCTAAAAACTGCAGTGAAATCAAGTGGTTTCATTTCAAGTACTTTTGTTTCCTTTCTATTTGACTGTGACTGATAAACAGGAAAAGGCAGTCTTAGAGGTGAATGTGCAGTTACCAGCAACAGCAAGGAGTCCACTACCTCCTCCCTTCCACTGTTTTTGCCACAGAGAAATTACTTGTTGTCTTTCAAACCACTATCAAATACCACTGAGATTACCCCGTTGAACTAAGGTTTTTCTGACCTACTCCTACTCCATGAGGAAACAAAAACCCCAAGCTTATCACAAAGTTGTTCCTGAGCTCTTAAAGGTTCTTAAGTATTTATACTTCAAACAAGCTACATCTATTATTTTCTGCAGTGTGTTTGGGCACTAAGCACATGCTCAAACACCTGATTTTCTTAAGTTTTAGAGGGCGTATTTACAAACCTATTTCTAAAGGCTCATTATAACTTCTGGGAACAGTCATCCAGAGTAAAGATCTTTTAGAAAAGATCCAAAGAGACTTTGTATATGCAACCCTTAACTGACTTTAATATCCATAAGTAGGTACTTTCTACGCTACAGCTCTCAAATTCATCTTTCCCAAGAGCTTATTTCTACTTGACTGTTCAGCACACAAAGCAAAGCTAAATGCTTTCAGAACAGGTCCTTTTAAGTGCATGTTTGTGGAGACAAGAGAGAAGTGAACTGGTCAGAAAAACCAGGAGTCACCTGTCTCCCATTCACAGTCCATACACTCTGCCCAGGAAACTTCCTTCTTGCTTACTTTTGTCCTCCACACAAGGTGAGTGCTGCCAATATGGTCCCTTAATACCATAAAACATTCCTACTTCTAAATCCAAGCACAGAGATCAGTTTGATCCCGGATATCCTCCCCATTAATGCAGCAGACTGAAAATACCGCACGTAAGGGTAACACCTTGGGCCTGTCTTCAGCCCTGAACACAGACCAGACCGAACTGAAGTTAAATCTGATATCTGGTCAGCTACAAAGATCAAAGCCCAGCAGCTCACTGCACTGAAACACTGAACTAAACCACAGGCCACCTCAAATGGACAAGGTCATCATTTTCCTGAGGTGAACCTGAGGCAAATTTCCTCACACCGAGTTTACTGGGTGAAAAACCAAACCCAAGCATCACCACCTTCTCACCTCTTTCCAGAGAGCACACAGAGGTATCACCCCCACCTGTACTTCTTTTCAGCAATTCTCCTCAGAGCTTCTCCCAGAAAAAAATTAACAATTCATCCTCTTTGTAGCCAACTACACCACCAAAGAAGATACTGGGGTGCACAGAACGATCCTGGACAGCTCTCACCACAACCAAAGTGCAGAGCCATCAACAACTCGCTGACACTTCTCCTCCCCACAGCTAACTCAGCTTCCAATAGCCCTTTTCACAAAAAGGAAACAAAACACCAGAAACGGTGATTTTAACATCAAGACTCTCATGGTGCAACCATCTATTCCAAGAAAAGTACAGATATTAAACTGTATAGGGAATGCATGGCAAACGCTTCCCTAATGCTGAAAAACTCTTCCCCAGACAGAGAAAGCTGATCTTTGTCAGCTCCTCCACAGGAGCAGGAAAAGAAACAAAGCAGAAGGGTTCAAACTGGAACGGGACTTCTAATCCAGTTCAGCAAATTCAGGTGTTCTGCTGGATCATCTCCCCACTTTTTATGCCCTCCTCTGGTTCCCAGGAGACACCTCTCACCCTCTTTTTTTTTCCATCCCTCTCCTTTTTGAGGTGTGCTCAGCTCTTCAGACAAATGTCCTGTTAGAGCAGCCAAAATCTGACTTAAAGCTGGAAGCAGGAGACGCTAAGTGCAGCAAGGAGGTAGTTTTATCCTGCACATCTTTGAGGTGGAAATACACTGCAATTAAAGGTGTTAAAAGCTCAAAGTTACATTATTCCTCCAGATTTTTACCATAAAGCCACCTCAGCATGTCTGGTTTTTTTCTGCAGGTACTACAGCAACCCATCCTGAAACACGTGTGACTGTTCAGAACAGCTGAACTGTCACTCCACAGTGAGAGGAGTCCAGCAGAGGAAAAATAATAATTAAAAAAAAAATTAAAAATCAATATCTTTCTAAGAAGCAGAAGGCATTTGAGTCACTTAAACAGTTCTTAATCCATACAAGGATGATTTTAGGAGATACTTCTCAGTAACAGCTATGCCTAGACAAGGACTGTGACTCTGCATTAGAGGAGACAGTAGCAGAGACATTAAAAACAGCACAATAATTTGAAATACCTCTCACAAGGTGATTTCTGTTTCCCTCATCTATAGGCACAGAGAGTGCATGTTTTTAAAAATTAAGAAAACATCCATGGAGGAAAAAAAACTGGTCAGTTTTGTTACACCAAAGCTTAAAAATCTTGAAGCCTGGTTAGCAAGTCCCATGCTTGTAACAAACTGGCATGAGAATTACACCTGGAATTTTTCATCTTTCATGGCAATCAGTCTTTGCACCTTCTGCTTTCAAGGACACAGCACAGAAAAATCTTTGCTTGGAGGAACCACAAGAGCAGAGCCAAAAAACAAAGCTCACAGACATGAAAAAGATTATTCTTCGACATTTTGTCCGGATAAGTATCTTCTTCCCTCTCTCCAGTTCTGTAATGAGGTGCTACATGAAATGTAAAAATTACCTGTCAAGTAGGTCAAAAGCTGCACAACTGGGCATTTCAGTGCTCAGGAACTGAAGTTGAACTAATTAAACCAACAGAAGTGCAAGGCTTTTCTTGACAGGAGGAGAGGGATTATTCTTTCTGCTTTCTGTGAGCCTGAAACTTCCTTTGATGTAAGAGCAATGGAAGCTGTAGGAAGAATTTTCCCCTTTCCCAGAACAACCCATGTCAGGTTCCTCATGTCCTGTCCCTCCATAAAAACCCCTCTGTATATTAACAGTGGTGTTGGAGGTCTCTGTGCTGATCTGCAGAATTATAAATCAAATTCCCGATGCAAGTGCTGCCGAACCAAGGCCTTCCCCAAAACCCAAACCCCACTGATCGCAGGAACTCTGGTGGTGTCAACTCTCCAAGAGTCCAAAAGGGCAGATTTTGGCCTCGTTTCCTGGCAGAGTTACGAGGAGCACAGCACGGTGCTTGAAATTTGGAGTTACTTTGGCCAACAGCTTGGAAATTCTAACAAACTCAAAACACTTTCAAGCTGTGAATCTGAAAAATAACGGAATTTCGTAACGCTGTTTTGCAGTTGTTTCACAGCAAAAAACACTCTCGCAGTGTCATAGACAAAGTGACACCAGCCAGCAGCCAGGGGTTTTCACAGGTTTTGGTGAAAAGATCATTTCCAGTTCTGTTCTAGCACAGGAATTTCTTCATGGAAGGCAGCTTCAGGATAGAGCTAAAGAAAAACTCGTCTCAAACCCTACCTGGTGAACAAGTGACAGCTCAATATTAATGTATATAATACAGGATGCTGATTCAGGGAATGGTTTGGGTTGGAAGAGACCTTTAAGATCATTTAGTTCCAACCCCTATCATGGGCAGGGACACCTTCCACTAGGCCAGGTTTCTCCAAGCCCCTTCCAACTTGGCCTTAAACATTCCAGGGATGGGAAGTCCACAACCTCTCTGGGCAAACTGTGCCAGTGTCTCACCTCCCTCACAAGGAAGGATTTCTTCCTAATATCCAATCTAAATCTACCCTCCTTCAGTTTAAGGCCATTCCCCCTTGTCCAATCACTACATGCCCTTGTGAAAGATTCTGCATGAAGATCCCATCCCAACAAAACAAGCTGCTCATTCCACGTCAGAGAAAAAATCCTGGCAGTAGAAATTATTCAGCATTTCACCATCCTAACAAGTTTCAGCTTAGTGCTACACTTCTCTACATCAGAACACACTTTCCTGGAATACAATTTACACACCCAGAGAAGCAGTCAGCAATCTCTGCACTGGTCCTTTTAGCCCTCCAGGAACTACTAGCTGGTTTTTAGCCACTGAAAAATATCATTTCCCAAAAAACTAACGCTGGAAGCTTCAGAATAAGAAATTAACTTCCCTTATGTAGTCAACCTTTAACTCTAATCCTCTGCTACTCTTGAGGTTTCCTAAAGCCAAGAGTTACAGATGCTTTCAAAAGTAGCAGCCAGAAACAAACCCAAAGAGCAACCAAATCCTCTACTTCTCCAAGAACAGGAAACCCCACCGTTTATGGCACACAAATGATTCCTGGATTCCCAGCCTGAGGCTTTCAGTTCCTCAGGCAAACAGGAGGAGGTTCAGAAAGCCCCTACACAGCCACTGTCAGTTGAGTCTCGGCAAAAGAATTCCCCAACACATCAAAAAGCTCCTAAATTCAGCTAAATTAACCACCAGGATCTCTACCTCCTTTTTCAGCAACTACCTCCTTGCTCTATTTTTAACCTTAAACAGCTAATTTAAAACCAGTCATTCTTGTACTATCTCAGTAGTTAGGAAAGGGGAAGATAAATTTACTGAGAAAGTCAAAAGGCTCCAAATCCTCGGATTAAATCCAACAACTAAGACTCCTGTTCTCTCTGGCCTGCAGGAAGCAAGAGAGATCCTCACCCCTGCTCCCATCACACACCCCCCATGCCCCCTCAGCAATCCCCTCCAGCCAAACCAGACACCAGGGGTACAATCCTTCTGTGCCCCTGGATGGCACTTTACCCAGAGGAGAGACGTAACATTAGAGCAGCAGGAGGACAACAAGGGAGGCTCCTGCTGTTGCTTTATGTGTCACAAGCGTGTTTGAGAGTGAAAGGTTTCAAGCTTTTTCAAACTCACAGTGAAACTTTTGACTGGTACTTAGCTTACTGAGTTATTTAGAGCTCTATACAGCAGTTTATAGGAGGACAGGAAGCAGCTTCTCCCGCAATTAAGTTGACTCAACAACTATATTTCTGAAATTACTCTGTTTTGCTCTCACTCCCCAGGATTTAAATTATGAAGTTATTATTTCTTATTAACAGGACTTCACTGTGTTCCAAATCTAACCAGCCTAAAAGACGATGAAATGGAACAGCTACTATGGATACTTTGCCTGAGTACAATGAAGTCACGAGTGCCAAGACCGGCACAAGTATCAAAAGAGATTATTTTCTACTCAGAATGCTGAAAAAATGCATTTACCTATCTTAATGAATCGACAGGGGAACATCTGTTCATCAATTTTATGCTTCAAGGTGAATGTTTCTTTGTTATAATCATTCTTTAAGCCACTGTGGGAAAAAATAAATAAGGTTACTAAATCTTACCTTGTATTTTAGAACTAGCTAATAAATGCAATCTAGGTCATGCCTGAAACGCAAAGCTTGTTTCATATCACTCTGAATCATAAGTACACGTGCTGGACCAACGCCTGGGCTGTTCTCCACCACTTTGTGTCTCCCTGGGAGGCAGCACTGGGTAGTGATTTTGGGAGGGAACTGGACTTTGGATCAGTGCTGCTCCCCTGCACCTGTAACCCTGGGACTTCAGCTAAGGATCTGTTGAACTGAGCTCTTCCATTCTCCAGAGGGAGAAGGATCAGATCTCAAAATGATCACCCTGATCCACTTATGGGCACTACTTCATAAAAATATCAAATATTTAGCATAATTTATCAAAAATCTTAAGTCCATTTTTACTGTAGATATGCAAGTACAGGTCCCAAAATGAGGATTTTTATTGAACTTCAGCACAAGTGAAATGACATTAGATATCAATAATTATTATGATACTAAGACCTCTTCCCCCCCAGTTGTAGCAGCAATAAAGGTAAATTGCACGACTGGTCTATCTAAAGAGGGCAGGAGGGTGGGAAGGGTTGTGGATGGTTTCTATATGGTCATGAAGAATACCTGCAACACAGAACTTCCCACATTTCTCCATGGCTATTCTGCTTGGCTACAGATGATGTACACCCATACATTCCTGGAGGTGGACTTCTCTTCTGGAGGCCTCCCAAAATAGACTAGTTCTTGCTTCTCTTGTAGTCCTGGATATTTAACTCTCATTTCCCTTTCTGAAGCAGCAGAGTCCTTGAAAGGTCCTTGCAAATTTACACTGGCAACTACTCTGAAGTTCTGGATAACGTGAACAGCCAAAAGGCTCTTTCTTCAGTCCCTTTCCAACCCGAACTACCAAATCCAACTAAATAAAGGAAAATACAGGTTTTTTCCCATTTGCCATTTGTTTAATTTATTTACCCATTTGAGGAAAGGCAGAGCAGCTGACTAGTTCAGATCTTTACAGCTGCAATGAATTTTTTAGGGAGCTTACTTGGGCTTTTAAAAGCTACTTCAAAGTTACACACCTGGGGAATCATCCCTCTTCTGCCTCAAGCACAGGGAACGAAGGAATCACAATCCAGCAACGCTGCACCCTGCTCTCAGCTCTTCCAAATCCCCAAATTTGCTCTCCACAAATCCTCTGTGGTCAGAGCAGGATCAGGAAGGCTCCCTGGAGTGAGTGTTGGGATTGCTGCTCTGACCTGACCGTAAACATGAGGTTGGATAACTGCAGGATCACAACCACAGCTCTGCTCCGCTGTTGGCTGTGTCTGCTCGGGAACCAAGGGGGAAGAGGATTTTGGTCCAGCCTTTACAATTCCATAGCTGATGGAATCATGTCTTACCTGGATAAGAGATCTGTCATATTCTCCTCATTCATCCCACCGAAAACTTTAAACTTCTTTAAGTTGCAGACATGTGTTTTCTCATATTTGCCAAATGTGATGCTCTGGACTATGGCAGGTCTTTCAAGTTTCAGAATCAAATACTGTGGAAGAGAGAACAGCGGATTTTAATATTAAAGCCAAGGCTGCAAAACACACTAAGGGAGAAGCATTACAGCCTCCAAAAATTCAGTTTACAAAGCTAAAAGAATGGAAGTGAAGATGAAACCTCCCCATTATTATATTTTCTCCTTTGTACTGGAATGAAGAAAAGGGTTTCTTTTTTTAGGAATATTCCTTTAAAAGCAGTTTATCCAGGAAAAAGATTCAGTTGAACTACCTATTCCTAGCAATTCTATTCAGGGCTTACATACATTCCTTTAAGTTGGACGCAAGACTTCCTGAAATCTGGCAAATAGGATCAAACTACAGGGAGCGAAGATTCAAACGCCCACCACAGCCTGAAACGAAACCTAAACTGAACACACAATTCGATAAATACAGAATGTTCCCCACGCTAAGAGAACAGCAAATTACTCTTCCTCTCTTGGGCTGACGCCGTTTAACCACTGAGCACAAAGTTTGGTGCGTGGAGAACACAGGAACCAACTGCTTATTAACCATCCCAAATAAAACTGGGCCGCTCGGTGACAATAAAGGGTCTTTGCAGAGAAAACGATGAGAATGTGCTCACTTGTGAGCATTTGCTGCCCTCTTACACCGCAGGGACACGTCAGGGTGTGAATAGTCAGGTGATTTATATTGAGGCTCTGGTTACCAGCTTCACCAGTACTACTGGAGGAAAAGGGCTGTTCCCACGGAAAAGCAGATCCAGGGAAGCACCTGCACCATTCATCGGGGACCACCGAGCACCTTCCCCACCAAACAGGTCTTTGGGGGGAGTGTGGGGACATCCTGTTTTGCAGAACACGTGGAGTTTTATACCTGAAAACAACGTGTTCCATTCTTCTCCCTGGTTTCTCCCATCTAAACAGAGCACGCAGGGAAACCAGGCAAAGCGCAGAATCACAATTACTCATCGTGCTGGATTTTGTCTCAGCTCTACAGAGCTACTAATTCTTAATCTGTGAGCAGGACTGATGTCATTCTGGGGAGCACCAGGATAAAGATGAGATGGATAAAGGTTCCCAATGGCTGGTTCCCACTACATTCAAAAGAAGCTTAGAATCGAAGAAATACTTGTACATACAACAGTTGCAGATGATGTAGACTGGGTAGGTAACTAACAGAACAAGATTTACTGCCAAAGATGTTTCCAGCAACTCAAATTTTTTCAGAGTGAAGAAAACAAACCAGTGGCAGCACTGCAAGGGTACAACAAGAGGAATGCTTTGGTGCATTTCCAGATTTCTTTAATGAAAAATTCCTAGTTTTGTAAAGAACACCATCCACCTAAATATCAGAACCCACTGTTAGATTAACTAGCAGCAACCCCACTTTTGTCTCAAAATACTCCCTAAAATTAAAAAAAAAAAAAAATCCTGAAGTTCTATACAGAAAACGGATTTTCTAAAGCAGAGGAGAGGAAAGGATGAGCAAAAGGACAGTCCTGTAATAAGTAAGGTAGTACTTGATACATGGCACAGCCCGTTGCCAAAATTCCCCATGCAGAACAGACAGTACACAACGTCTAAGAACTCCTCCCACACCATCATATCTTCCCTGTAGACTTCTCCCGAAGCTGGAAAAGCAAAGCCAGCACTACCAGCAATTGCAATTCTTAATCCTGCTGGAATCCCAAACCTAATGCCTGGGCCATGAACACATACTCTCTCAAGTACCACACAAGATCTGCAAACCCTTGGCACAAAGAACATCCTGTATTATTCAATTCTTAGCCTAAATTGTGGGAGAGAAAAGCAGGACTGCACTTAAACCCTTTGTGCCCCGAAGGGAGAAAGGGACAGCAATTACCTCACAGGGCCAGCAGTGATTTCTTAACCCTAGAGATAGAAGGGAACTCTGCAGCCCTCCTTCCCACTTCCACACATCCCACCACCTGCTGAGTCACACAGACCCCACAGAAAATAGAAGCACAAAAGCTAAACACAACCTTTATGTGAATTTATCCCTTGATTGATATGGAAACTGAAGACAGGCTTGCTTTAAAACCCCGTACCTACATATGGACTTTTATATTTTTTAATGCATATACACACACAAACTGAAAGACTTTTAAACTGAAAGAAGGGAAATTTAGGTAAGTTATTAAGAAGAAATTCTTCCCTGTGAGGGTGAGGAGGCCCTGGCACAGGTTGTCCAGAGAAGCTGTGGCTGCCCCATCCCTGCAAGTGTCCAAGGTCAGGCTGGACAGAGCTTGGAGCAACCTGGTCTAGTGGAAGGTGTCCCTGCTCATGGCAGGGGGTTGGAAGTGGATGATCTTTAACATCCCTTTTAGCCCAAACCATTCTATGATTCTATGATATATATATATAAATACAGACATAATGTACTTTTTGGGTTTCTAAACAAACACACAGGCTGCTGCCACTCTGTGGGTACCAGCTACAAATCTCAACGATGTTGAAAAAACAATTTGCCTCAAGAGCTGCAAACAGCTGGGCTGCATGGATATTTTTGGACTGCTACCAGGACTTTAGCTATGACAGACTATTCTCTATGGCTTTGAAAAAAGTGGCAGAACTGTCTGTAAGATCAAGTGATTTATTCAACCTGGAGAGAACCAGTCTATGAGGCTTCAGGCCAATACATACACCAAGATGCTTGACACTTTTCCATCCTCTTGCAATAAGTAACATCAGTACATTTAATGTCCACGTATTCATGCAGTATTTCAAAAGTCCAAATTATAAACTCAAGCATTTGTCCATTAAAACAGGGCACAAGGACACTAAATGGCACAACTGAGCAAAAACCTCAGCCCAGGTTTGATTGTTTAAGGCTCGAATTACGACACTTGCAAAAAAAAGATGCTACAAAACATTAGAAGAGTAAAACTTCTGGTTTGTGACTCAACATATTTGTAAGTGAAGATGCACAAAGAGTAAAGTCACGGATAGCGCTTCAGCACCCCAACAGCTCATTACACTGCACCCAAAAAGAAGTAAATCCAGCCCTGTCACACTGGGAGCTGCAGCAAATTCCACCCTCTTTTGAAGTGCTGGTCTGTGCTACCGTTTGATGACAACCATATGAAAGCTCCTGCACTACACAACTGAGTGTAAATTTTATTAATGTACTTTACGTTAATTCCTGATACAATCGACACGGCAGGATGGAAATCAAGAGAGGAAAACCAGTCTTCCCAGATGCAGAACTGAAACCAACTGTGTCGACAACACCACTAAACTTTCTACATGTGCCCTTCCAGTGTCCAAAATTCACATCTCCACGAGGTGGGAATGGGCTGCCCAGGGAGGTGGTAGAGTTACCATCCCTGGAATGGTTCAAGAAATGACTGGATGTGGCACTTAATGACATGGTCTGGTTGATGAGGTGGTGTCTGGTCAAAGCTTGGACCCTGTCTCAGAGGTCTTTTCCAACCTTATTGATTCTGTGATCAAATACACTGAACCAGATTCCAAACTGCACTGCACAAGCTGCCAGTGCAATTAGAGTCACACTGTAATTTATTAATTAAGCATTTTTTATTAGGGAGTAGTGAAACTTGTATTGCAGGTGAAAATAACCACCACAACATGAAATAACAGTCCTGCCCTTGTTCATGACATAAACCTCCTGATTGCCTTTTCAGTTAAGTCGGTGGCTAAATAAAAATCTATCCTTTTGTTCTACACATTATTAATCAAGCCACTCAGGGGAATCAGATGCTGTTCCGTGTCAGACCATCATTGGAATCATCAGGATGAGCCTTTATGACAGAGCTGTGGTCTTCAGCATCACCAGCCTCATTGCTTCACACTTCCTATGTAAGCTGAAAACTGGATTAAAAATAGACCCACCAGCCCTCTCCTGCTTGAATAGGTTACTACATAACAGGTTTGTTATTAAATATATAATTTCTGGGTCATCTATTTCAAGGCTCAAGAAAGATATGTCGTTTAATAAACAGAAAACCAGCTGTCAGATGTATTTCCTTTCACTGGCACTCATTCATAACCAACTGGTGGCTTTCAAGGCCACGAGAATTATTTAACTCTACCATACCCATACAGCCAGGAAAACCCTCTACTAAATACAGTCACATGGCAGCATTTCAAGTGTCTACACTTCCACTTCCATTCTCTTTTCTGCCTCAAAAAAGGTTTGATACAGACTCTGGCCCATTTACTGCATTTCCATGGAGCTACTGAGCGCATTTTGATGTTCTCATCTAAGTTCTTCCAACTTGTGCTCATCCCAGCAAGAGGAACATTGCGAAAGAAAAGGTGCCAGGAGAAAAGGTTCCCTTCACTCAAAAAGGGAAGGGAATAAACCAATGTGTAAGGAGTCACCTCTAGGGCAGCACAGCACCCTCACCCCGGCAGGGAATCGCTAAGCCCTGACGTTCAGGTGAGACACTGACAAGACAAACGCGAGCGACTGGCGCTGAAGAGCTTATTAAAACATCTGCCAGCACGTTCCCGTGAGCAGGACTAACACGAGCCCCTGTGCTGTGTCTTAGCCCTGCTTTCAGCCCATAAAATTTGGGAACAAGGAGAGCTTTATTTTCCCCGAGTTTTCGTTCGCTTCCTGTCCGGACTGTTGTGGCCACCCACGCACTCCAACAAGTGCGTCACCGCACCAGTGACTGGTCTTTAACTGAAGCGCTGCCAACACACCACCCAGAAAATGAAGCTCTGCAGCTTCGTTTTCCATAGGATATGTGATGTTTATTCTGGGGATTAAAAGCCACATGTATATATCGACATTTCTTGGAATATGAACTACTCAGCTTCTAACAAGGGAACTGATTTTGCCCCAACTTCTCTCCTCACCACGCTCATAACTCGGTCACCCACTGTCTCAACTGAAGTTTTCCAAGCTGAGTATCTGCCTTAAGGACTTCAGCCACCTGGAAAAACAAGGAAGCAGAATACCTATATGTAAGCTTTACCTGCATTTAAATGTGGTAGCCTTTCAGTGAGCAAGGTGGGAGAATTACTCTGAGCAAAACGCAACCGAATCCCGAGTTCTTTTGTCAGGTATGTGACAACACAAAGGGAATTGTTTCTAAATATACAGAAATAATAAAAGCTGCATTCTTTGCACACAGGCCTCTTCTCCAAATTTTAATTCCCCACTCCCTCTTTCCAGCTAATTTTTCAGAGAAATTAAACTGCCAAAAAATGCTTTACATGGATAAGCTCAGAGAATTAGCTAAAGTATATATGTAAGTATAAATATACAAAATATTATAATATATTCAGTATAAAGTATATATAAAAAGTACTTTACACAGTATAAGGGCACTGCAAATACTTCATCTCTCTCAGCACTCAGGATTGCTGAATCCAACTACACAGCATTTTATATTCTGGATACAGAGATTCAGTAAGAGGAATTGAGCAGGATGATCTTTTCCAGTCAGGCTGCCAGGTTTTCCATTGGTTTTGTCTTTAAATAACAGAATAAAACTCAAATACTGTCTTGTCAATCTCAGTTGTAACCACTAAGATCAATTTTTTGCAAGTCAAACCTTAATTCTGGATCCCTAATACATGTCTAGATATGTGACACGCAGGTAGATAAATGACAGTGTTAATTCATCTCTCTCCTACCAAAAAGGCAGGTTTAAATGCCTTGCTTAGCATTCAGAGCAGTGCCCAGTTCTCCAGGGCTGGATTCAGTCGTTCTGCAGCAGCATCTCCATTCTGGTCACGGCCAATCCACATAAAATTTTTGGAAGACATCTCTTTAACAAGCTCGTGTGGTTTGTACAGAAGTCTGCCACTCTAATTATTCCCTGCCTCATCTACATGTCTGAATACAACCCCCATCACCGCTTGTCAGCTTTGAGCACAGGTTGGGAATATTCTAAAGCACCCAGTTACAAGAGAGGTTCCTTCCCCATTCCACAATCAGATTTTTAAAAGCACTGAATATTCAGGATGGCTCAGAAAATGAAAGAGCAAATTTGAGCAGCAACTAAAAGCACACCTCAGATTAAAAACCCAGTCCAAAACCACACCACAAAAATCCAACCCTGCCTTTGGAACAAGAGCACCCTAAGAACAACATGGAGAGGAAAGATGGTACAGACTGGAATAGAACCCAAGCTCAATATCCATTACCCTGCAATCCATAGTTCCTAGATAGACTAAAACTGCTTCAGGCTATGGATTAAACTCCTATGCTGTTCATCAAGATAATTATATATTTTAAAAAATCAAATTAGAAGAGCAGTAGATGCACAAAGGCATCAAGAGAATAAAAATTATTAGTCTTCACAAGCAGTTTTATGTTAATGGAATAAAGACAACAGTTTTCCACCTCCTCTAAAAAACCTCCCACTTCTGTAGACACGACAACAGAGAAGGACCGATCAGAAAATCCAGATGAAAGCTCTTCAGCTGGACAGGATGACCTGCTGCTCTAAGGAGCCACGAGTGCAGACTATCGATTTTTAACACACCTCCAAGGCAAAGCAGCAAGATTTACCTGGAGAAAAATCCTGTGAGATTTCACTCATGAGGAATCCTTGGATTAAATAAGCAGATAAGCAGAACTCTGCACGAGAGAAACACTGCACAGGACACTCTGCTCAGTGCTTTAAACAGAAGAATTTAAACAATTTAAAACAATAAGCAACATAAGAGACACAGAAGCTGATCAAACAGTATTAGAGTAATAAAGTATGGTTCTAACACATATACACACAAAAAAAAGAAGGATAGCACACTTACTGGAGGAAAAAAAGTAAGTGGAAAAGCATTTTCTGGATAACCTAAAACCTAGTTAATAGTGAAAAAGTAAATTAGATGCCAAAATCAATACAAATTTAATTTTAATAAGGTGCTTAACCAGTAGAAGAGGTGACACTCATGTCCCTTTAACCAGAGGCTACACTTCTAAACGTGCCGTTAAGGAGAAACAAACACAGGCTCCTTAGATCTGGGATTCAAGGCCAAGAACCTACAACAGCCTCCAGGAGTGCTGACAAAGGGGGACCTCACGCCTCATTAGCAGCTTAATCTCACCAGAAGGCTCCATTATTTCCAGCGCGACCACGACTGCCAAGGATGAAACCTGAAACTTCCCCCCCGGAATGAAGCATTCCTTGAAACATCCCAAACTGCTAGAAATGTAAATACCCGATGTACCAACAATCTGCATTTTACTCGGAGAAGGAAGCCTATAAAGGTTGTCCACAGAAGCAGAGTGCATTCAAGATAAAAATTCCAGGAGATATGAAGTTGTACAACACGGCTTACCTGGGGGGGATAATTGCTCTCTGAAGACCACCTTGAGGACTGATCATTGGGCTTATCCACCAAGATATTCCTAAAAAAAACAAAAAACAAGAGGCCAGAATTAATTTAAACAACAGCCATCTATCTTACTTCTCCAATAAATCTGTTTACATGTAGAGCAGTAACATTCTCATGCAGCCACCTAAATCACCAGGTAGAGACTCGGGTTCTCCCCCTCATTGTTAAAAATTCTGTACATCACTGTTTTACAGGACCCATCAAAATACGCCCCCGAGCCTCGTGGTTGTGAAACGGAGCCCCAAGTTGCGAAAGGAAAAAAAAAAAAAAATCCAAATTGTGAAACAAATGTAAAACAGATGAATTTACACAGGCCCAAGTCTGCAATGAAGTGGAAAAAACGGGCTCACTCACCCCAACGGGGTTCTTCTTCTCAATAAGGTTAAAGTGATGAGCAGTGAGAGGGTTACTAAGCCAAAAACTGCCCTTTACTAGACAGGCAATATTGGAAGCGAGAGAGAGAGAGATCTGTTAACCTACTTAAGCTTTCCTGGAGGGTGGAAGATGACCACCTAACTCATGCCAAATTTTACCAAGTATTTTTCATGAGCTACGAGCCTAGAACAACACACGAGAAAGCAGAAGTTCAACTCTTCAATCAGCAAACTTGAGCTGCTTTCTTACAGTTCGGAATAGCACAGTATTTACGGGATTAGCAAATTCAGAATTGATTTTTTTTTTGGCTAAAATTAAACAGATTCATCATGACAGTCATATGAGAGGTCTGCCTTCTCTCCTGTAACAATGCAGTAAAGCTCACCTCCTAAAAAAAAAAACTTGAAAAAATAAACCAAAATCACTAAAATGTATATAATTATTGGCAAGGTGACGATGCACCACCTGCTGGACAGGCCTTATGAACTCCACGACGTCCAACTAATGAACTCGTCAGCTCATAAAACTTATGTAAAAAGAAGGAAACTCATCAAAAGGCTTATGCCATCTCCATCTGCTGTGTAGGAGGGAAAGAACACAAGCATCTGGATTACTACAAAGGGCTGGAGGAAAAAGCACTGCCGTGAACGCTCCAAAGGGAAGGAGGTTAAGTCGGAGGTTGAGCATTAACAGAGAGAAATCAGCTCCCTCCTTCCACACCGGGCAGACCGAAATCGCTGCTCTAGCAACAGTATCCAAGCAGTCCCTGCTGTGACAAGGGAGACAGCAAGGAGCCAGCCCAGGGTGGCCTCTGAAATCCCAACATTTTCCAGAGCTGGTGAAGTGGTTGTGTCCATCCGCAGGCTCAGATCCTCAGGATTTGCACACAGCACGGGAATAAAACTCAGGTTCCCCTCTGCCTTCAGCTAATTCCCATCACGGCATTATTTATTGGCACAGCGATGCCAGCACCGATCCAGGGCTGCAGGTACTTTATTCACCCATTTCCAATGGGGAAAATGTGATGGAACTGGATACGGACAAGCACTGCCCTCCCGCTCAAACCCCATCAAAGAGGGAACGTCGAGTCACGGATCTGCATAATTAAACATCCAGATAAGCACATCCACACTGCAGTGCAAACAATCTCAACTCCAAGAGAAAACCTAACCTCCAGCTTTAATTACAACCAGGGCAACAGCAACTAAACCCAAAGGGGAGAATTTGGGAACTGCAGAGACACAGATTTCTAATAAAAGCTGCCAGTCTCCAAGCTAAGTCACCATCAGAAACCACAAGACACTTGCTGTTGAGAAGATTCATACCTGTACTCTCCTATACCACACCACAGGCAAGACAACCTGGTATTTAATAAATTCTTAATGCCTTTTACTATCTGGAGAGGGAAAAAAAGCTAAACTTGAAGATATGTATCTTATATTAAATACTTAAGGGATATAAAGGCAGACAAAAATAGATAATGGCCTTTCTCCTTTATGGAATTTTATCCTAGAATGGAAGAAGACAACTTACCCTACAGATTATATATTATTTATGATGCCATTACATTTGCTTAAATACTGGACATAAAATCTTCATATGTTGAGCAACAATTGCAGGAATTGGCACTGCTGCATTGTCAGATAATTCCCTGCTGGAAAAAGGCATTTTATACCTGGGACAGATCCCAAATATTGTATTTTTAGAAGGAGATTTGTTTGCTTCTCCAGGTCAGAGATCAGTTTGCCACAACCAAAGAGGATCTCAATCAGCACAGTTAGACAAGATAAAAATCCTTCCACGGAGAGAGAGAAAAGAGACAGGCAGTCACACAAAATTAAGGCTAAAAAGAAATGTGAAAGATAAAGATAGCAGTGTCAGTGGAGTTAGAAATGTTTAAAAATACGTGGGTAATTAATTTATTAAGATTAAACAAACATTGAAGACAGAAGTCCATATGTACAAAGTCAATTTACCAAAACAATTTAGGAAAATTTATGGGCTTGGAAGAATTCAAGCATTCCAGGAGCCATGAGACAGTAAGAAACAAACAAATCCATATCCTAATGGCAGACTCCTTTTTTCCATGTAAAGCCCTTTTTCTGGACATCAAACTCCCACACAGTACCCAGGGGCAGGCTTTGCAGATATGACACCTAGATTAAAATCTGAGAAACTTTAGAAGTGAAAATTCCATTAACTCAACGACTGTCCATGTAATTTTCACAAGGCATTAAAATAAAAAAAATAATAAAAAAAAAAAGGTATTTGTAAGCCCTCGAGCTACACAAGAACAGAATGGTTTTACACAAAAAATTTTTTCCTGGGGAAAAAAGCAACGCATTAAACGTGGCTTGAGATAACTCCTAATCATCAGCTGTGGGTACAGGATCGAGTCTCTCACGAATCTCCAGCAGTGCCAAGAGGGACCATCCCACCCACTCTCTCCACCAGCAGCTATAATAAAGATTTGCACAAATAACTTCTTGTGTCAGATCAGTTCTCCAGTCCGGCTCATCACCAGTGCCAGCACCACCAGGGATGGCAAAGATGAGCAGCTGGATCGGGGTGAGGGGTTCACAAACTCCCAATCCCCCTCTCCCACTGGAAAAATCAGATGTCCTGATACCTCTGCTCCTAAAAGCTAAGGAGAAGGAGCCGTTTTATTGATCTCATCACTCTCTACAGCTACCTGAAAGGATGTTGTAGCCAGGTGGCAGATGGTCTCTTCTCCCAGGCAACTATCAGTAAGACAAGAGGGCATCTTAAGTTGTGCCAGGGGAGGTTTAGGTTGGATATTAAAGAAATTCTTCACAAAGAGGGTAATCAGGCACTGGAATGGGCTGCCCAGGGAGGTGGTGAATTCTCCATCCTTGGAGGTGTTTATGAAGCAACTGGATGTGGCACTCAGTGCCAATGTCCAGTAACTGTGGTGGTAGCGGATCAAGGGTTGGACTCGATGATCTCAGAGGTCCTTTCCAACCCATCTGATTCTATGATTTGCTCCACAAGCAGCAGGGTGTCCAGAGGCAGCACTGCTGTGCCTTCATTTCCTAACCTGGCTGCCTTACTGAAAGCGCTCCCATCCCTAAAAAATGGATGGTTCTGATTGCTTCATGCAAAAAGCCCTTCTGGCAGAGCACAGGGCGAGGTTCCTTTTATTACCCCGGCAGGCACTGCCCTCACAACTGCTGGAAGTAGATAATTTTTCCTTTCACCATCCCAGAAACCATCATATCCGTTGTGCCAGCTGCTGGTTGATCTCTGCTGGAACGACAGAGATGACCCCACGCCTGGGGACTTCTCTGCAAAGAGCTCTCTGCACGACAACCACTAAGGGAGAGTTTTCCTTTGCTCTTGACGGGGGAGAGGGAGGAAGGGAGAAAGAAGATGACTTTGCAGAACAGGCTGCAAATGAGGTTTAAGGCTGCTATAATTTGCATCTAACCTAAATATTTTCACGAAGTTGCTATTAAGAGAAATCCACGACTTTAGGAACGAGTCCCCGAGAATAAACAAATCCCAAACACTCGCTTTGCTTGGCACACTCACGTGGCTCCTCGGAGAGCAGCTGTGCAGGGAAGGGCACAGGCGTCGCCAAGAGCACTTGGAACACGGACAGGGCTCCCCTGGAAAACCACGGAGGTACCAGACCATTACACTGCAAAAAGTGTTTGGAGCGCTAGGGAAACACAGACTAACCGAAAACGGGCAAAATACTCGCTCCAGGGTTGAGTTTTTTCAGTTTTTCCTACAACCATCCCAAAAGGGATGGAGGGAGAACACAGCAAGTGGAATACATAGACTAGAATTTCCACTAAGGCCACAGTAAGACGCGCTGGACCAACTATTCCAAGCATGTGGAGCCATCACAGCAGCCAGCACAAGGCATCCACGGAGATACTCCTGCCCAGCCAGGACTCTGGAATGTACACACAGTCTCAACCAAGAAAAACTGGGGGGGCATGGGTGGGGAACCAACCCACCATTAAAAAAAAGTCCATGGATCTGGAAAGAACTACAGATTTTTTTTTTTTTCCTCCTGCAGCTCACAGAAACTCACTGCAACTAATGCTGGTTTCAAACCGCCTGACTGTGATGTTTGAAGACCTGTGTGTACCTCTGGCTGTCCCTTAAAGCAGCTCAAAAAAACCTTTGGAGATTCTGTTATGAAGTTTTTCTCTTTCCTATGGGGAAAGTTCTCTGCTTGAAATGGCAGAAGGATGTAAAGACATGAAAATGTCTTTGTTGAACCACAGCAAAACACACATGGTTATTTCATGCAGACCCACTCAGAAAGCAAGTTTTTAGGGGGTTGGGTGTTGTTTTTTGGGTTTGCTTTTTTTAAAACCCGGGATTTCTTAACCCCCCAGGAGGACCTCCTGCACAGCAAAACAAAGTTTGAGTTAAACATGTACAAGTGAGCACTTTTAAATATGACACTGTCATTTGCTCTGCTCAAATTTGCTTCATCTCCTCAGCAGTCTCTCACAAACATCCAGCATGTCATAAATTCACTTCTCTGAAAAGTAAAACAGCTTAGCAAGTACGGCATAACAAAAATAAACTGAAGGATTCAAAAATCACCTTACAAAAATATCCTTATCAGATCACAACTGGTTATACTGGACAACAAAC